CCAAAGCAGCGCAGGGCTGAGCAGGACGGGGCACCCAGGGGTGCAGAGCTGCACCCTTAGGCTGTGGCCATCAAAGGCTGCCAGACGGGCAGCCAGCCCCACAGAGACACTGCTGAGCCCTGGTAGGGGACAGGCTGGGCAAGCGCGGGCAGAGACCCAAGCTGTCCAGTGCAGATCACAACTCCAAGCCCAGCCTGACCTCCCTCAGTCAGGCACCATGGGCTCTCCAGGCTCACAGACACCCACAGCCCCACACAGAGAAAATTCAGAGGTGAGCAGCACTGGGAGCACCCCAGGGACATGTCAAACTCCTGCGCTACCCAAGCGTTCAGCACAGCCCAGGGGGCGAGTCCCAAGCCCTGCTGAGCACTCACTCACTTTTTTTCTGCTAACAGATTGAAGCTGAGGACCAGGAGCTGGCAACCTTCTGCGGCAGGGAGACGACAGACACAGAGCAGGCTCCCGGCCAGCAAGTGATCCTGTCCCCGGGGCCCTACATGGGGCTCACGTTCAGGTCCGACTTCTCCAACGAGGAGCGCTTCACCGGCTTTGACGCCCATTACACCGCCGTGGGTAAGGAGCGGTTAAGCCTGCAGGACCACAGAACCACAGAATCACAGAATCACAGAATGGTAGGGGTTGGAAGGGACCTCTGTGGGTCATCTAGTAAAACCCTCCTGCCGAAGCAGGGTCGCCTACAGTAGGTTGTAGAGGACCTTGTCCAGGTCCAGCTTGCTTGCTAGGGCAGCATAACACATTTGCTAGGATCACATCCCAGGCCCGCCTTGGGGACCTTAGCAAGGGAAGTCCTTGTGTGCAGCCCTTGGGCCATATGCGACTCGCTGAGTGCTCACGTGACCCACTACATGGGACAACCAATTTGTCAGTGCTGTGGCAAATGTCCCCACGAGGAGTGATGCATGGGGGGCTGCAGGGCGGTGAAGGGTCTGAAGAACAAGTCTTACGAGGAGCGGCTGAGGGAACTGGGGCTATTTAGTCAGGAGAAGAGGAGTCTGAGGGGAGACCTTATTGCTCTCTACAACTACCTGAAAGGAGGTTGTAGAGAGGCAGG